TATTTTGATGTCGGAAAAACTGTATTTCTTTGGTCTCAGAGCCTCGTAGTACGGTGTTGTTATATAAGTTCAACACCTTTTTGTGCGGAGGTTTCTCCAGATATGGTGCGCAAATTTGGAATAGCGTCACTAATGAATTGCATTATTTATCGAAACAGAAATTGAAAGTAAAACTTCGGAAAGTCTTACTTCAAATATTGTCCGAAGCAGACATCTACATCGAGTTAACCAATCTGATAGCGAAAACATAATGGAAACGGCTCAGCTTTTGATTTGCATATATTCCTTTTTTCCCTATTCTTTTTACCTACTACAATATTATAGCTGTTTAACTTAGTAATATATTTATTTGTTTTAGCGAGTTTTTTGTGTTTTTTTCTTTCACATTTTTCTCATCTTGATTGACCCTTGACATGCAAACGCATATTAAAGAGACAAAGACCCTGTAATACACGAACTTCTTCCACCAAGCGTAAATACGGGATTTGTAAAAGGAGAAGCCCCACGCCTCCAAAGAACGAATTTATCTCGCTCCACGTTTACTAAAATCGTACAGAGTTTCAAAATACCCTTTAAGAACAGAGGAATCCCAGATGAGGGTTTTGAGAAACGTTTCTCAGGAGTTCCTTCTGCAGGAGAGAAGTGTACTTTAAAACAAAGAAAATAGCGCGCACACAGAAGAAAATATTGCCTTTTGAAACACAATCTCATCCGGCTTTGCCAAACCTCAAGAACATACAGATGGGGAACTGACACCTCAAAACTGACCCTTATTATTACATTACAAAGAAAAGTCATCAAGAGATATTCTAATAAGGGCTAAACTTTGATGTTAGAAGTTTTAAAAGCACCAGGTAGAGGTTTTCATAGATCAAGTGAATTTTTTCATTGCAGTTATTAGACTGTCCTTCAGAAATGATCAAGATAGGAGAATCACCACACGACGCTCGCGATTAGTTAAATTTTCCCATAGTTTCCCCTCTACTAACTATGATTTCCCTCACTTAGGAAAGTAGATTTACAACACGATTGAGTACACATAATAAATGTCCTTGCAGTAATAATACTATGTAATGCAACACACTAAACGCAACAATGGGCCTTTTCGCTCCATAAAAGGGTCTCAAACACTATCACTCAAAATGCATAAAACATTTGTAACATTGGAGTGCGTTTGAGTGCGTTTGGTTAGAGCTGTTGAAGAAGGATCAAAGCATAGTTAACTAACTATGATCAAAGTGGCCATACGAATCTTTGAACGGCTTCAAACTACGACGTACAACGAATTTGACCTTCCCGAAAAGCGGTCTCAAATTACATGCTAAAAAACAATGGTCCGTTTGTCCTTGAGAACGATAGATTCCTGCCGCTTTTACGGCCGTCTTGAAAATAACACTACCACAATGCAATGCAATCGGAGTGCGCACACCGCCTGGTCAGGGCCACTCTCGTTTTGTGTCTGATTTCGATATATAGAGAAGAAGGTCAGAAAGAACCGGAAATTGTCAGTGACGCCTGTCACGAAAACAAAAGGAAGTGAGACAGACAAAAGATCGTATTGATGACGCGGTCATTTTCAAGTAATAACCAATGAATGAGTTGCCAGTAATGGCGTCTTGTTTCTGCGCAAAGATTTCTGGGATCGCCACATGGCAAACATTGCAACTTGCTGGAAGGAAAGTTTATGACGCATGGTTGTTTCAACGTCCAAAAAAAACGAGTTTGTACAGTGATCGACGTTCTTTATGTGCCTGGTTTTCACTGGCGACGCCAGCACAAGCGCAAGCACAAATACTCTTATTTCTCTTCCATTTCCGATTTTCACCGTGATAACAATCACAACAACTGTAAGGGTCGATCTGCACAGAGGACAAAACCGTTTGTTTTACCTTAGTAGTCTGTCAACACAACTTTTATTGGTGCGGACTGTTTCTCCTGCAAGGACAAAATATTGACTCCGACAAATTTATCAAAGGAGCCGCTGTCCTGCCTTGGAGGCCTAAATTTCGTTCCGTGTTATCTTCTTTTGTTTTCGTGACAGGCGTTACTGACAAGTTCCGGTTCTTTCTGACCTCTTGCTCTATCAATCGCAATGAAATACACTAACGATCACGTTCAACTGATCGAGCTACACGCGTGGATTACGCTTTATACTTGGACTGAAATCCTAACAAATGGAGTGTCTATGGTCCCATACACAATTCGCCTCAGTCAGGTGGTGTAAGTGGTACGCAGCAGAATGTGCTGGTACCATGGCAGGATAGACCGTGATAAACTTGTCGATCATTTGTCGAAAAAGCCAAGACCAGCGTGTAATTGTACAAAAATCAGGTTACTAGGATGGCAGTAACTGTCTTTAATTACAAAACTCGGGGATTCTAAAACTTTAAAACGACTTAGAAGAGTCCTGGGAATTATTCTTGGAATACTTTGGCAAACTAAGTTATGCGGGCTTATAGGAGCAGATCAGACGGTGACAGGAATTGACGGCTTTGAATCTTTAATTAATGCACAGACTAAACAAAAATGTGTCATGTCAAAATGTGTCCTTTGATTTTGCCCAGGCGGTGTGCGCACTCTGGAGAAGAAGGTCAGAAAGAACCGGAAATTGTCAGTGACGCCTGTCACGAAAACAAAAAGAAAGTGAGACAGACAAAAGATCGTATTGATGACGCGGTCATTTTCAAGTAATAACCAATGAATGAGTTGCCAGTAATGGCATCTTGTTTCTGCGCAAAGATTTCTGGGATCGCCACAGGGCAAACATTGCAACTTGCTGGAAGGAAAGTGTATGACGCATGGTTGTTTCGACGTCCAAAAAAAACGAGTTTGTACAGAGATCGACGCTCTTTCGCTGCATTTTTATCATAAATGGATTAAACTATTGTTGATACGAGGTAAGTGTAATTTTTTGTTTGAATTACCGAAATATGTCATGAAATGGACCGATGAACCTCTCTCCTTACCTAAGGTAAATTGTGAAGCGCGACTGAATATACTCATATAGAGGTCTGCGCTACATAAATGTCAATTATTAGATTATGTATCATGATAACATTTAATACTCAAGCACACCATTTCAAACTTCTGCTACCTCGCTGTAACTGTCGTAGCACTCTTGTATTACCAGACCGAGAAAAACAACAAGAGGTAGATTAAACACACGTAAATAGAACTGAAAAGGCTTTTTTAATTTATTTCTATTTCTAAATTTCGAGACCATTGAAGGATAA